TAAACAATCAAAAATAAACAAAACAAAATAACGAGGAGCGGGCTGTTATTAGTGATGAGGTGAGCTGCCCTGGGTTCAGGTTGAACAGAGATTTTGCTAAACTTTAACCCCTCACCCTCCAGAGAGATTCCCCCTCCCCCTCCAGTTGATTACCTTCCTCCTCCAGAGGATTTCACCCTCCCCCTCCAGTGGATTCCCCCCTCCTCCTCCAGAGGATTTCCCCTCCTCCTCCAGAGGATTCTTCCCTCCCCCTTCAGAGGATCCCCCCCCTCCCCCTCCAGAGGATTTCCCCCTCCCCCTCCTGAGGATTTCCCCCCCCCCCCCCCCCTTCCTGACTGGACCATTTTTTTTGCGTTACGGCGTTGCGTTACTTTAACTGACAATTGCGCGGTCATGCAACACTGCCCCCAAATCAAATTTACATTCTTTTTTTTCCCCACGAATTGAGCTTTCTTTCGGTGCTATTTGATCACCTCTGCGTTTTTTTTTTTTTGCGTTATGTAAAAAAAAAAAGTGACAATTTTGAGAAAAAAAAATAATATTTTTTACATTTTGCTATTAAACACGCCTAGTAAAAAAATAAAAAAAATCTAATTTCATCATAAATTTAGGCCAAAATGTATTCTGCTAAAAAAAAAAATCCCAATATGTGTAAATTAATTGGTTTAGTTAGTTGGTTAGTTGTACCGTCTACAAATGGCGGTATAGATACTGGGATTTTTTTTTTTCTTTTTCATTTTTACTAGTAATGGCGGCGATCAGCGACTTATAGCGGGACTGCGGCGGGCATTCTGACACTGGGGGGGGGGAACTGACTTGTGGTGTCACTGACATCTCCAGTGACACCAATACAGTGATCAGTGCTAAAAAAAAGCACTGACACTGTACTAATGGCACTGGGCAGGAAGGAGTTATCAAAGGGTTACCTGTGTGCTGGTAGTGTTTTACTAGGGGGTGGGGGTCTGTGTGCATCACTGTACTCACACTGCTTTGGATGGCTGTGCTGTGCCCGAGCTGACAGGGAGGAGAACTGTTTTGTTCTCAGAGTCCCCCCCCAAAAAATTCATAGCAGAACCTTTGGGGGCAAAATCCATCTCACTTCTGCCTAGAAACCAATCAGCTTCCAGGTTTTATGGCCAAGACTATTGCAGTTCATAGACGGGTCGAAAATCGGCTGATTTTCGCACCGTTAGTGGGTTAATTGGTCAGCCATTTTTTTCGGGGTTTTGGCACATTTTTTTTATCCCCCAATCATGTGATTCAGGTGTTCCAATCCCCCTCCATATCATGTGATTCGGGTGTTCCAATCCCCTCCATATCATGTTATTCAGTTGTTCCAATCCCCTCCATATCATGTGAATCAGGTGTTCCAATCCCCCCTCAGGGTGTTCCAATTATGTGATTCAGGTGTTCCAATCCCCTCCATATCATGTGATTCAGGTGTTCCAATCCCCTCCAAATCACGCATTTCAGGTGTTCCAATCCCCTCCATATCATGTGATTCAGGGTTCCAATCCCCTCCATGGACACAGGTGTATACAATCAAGCCCCTAGGCATGCAGACGGCTTCTACAAACATTGGTGAAAGAATGGGTCGCTCTCAGGAGCTCAGTAACTCCAAGCGTGGTCCCGTGATAGGTGGCCACCTGGGCAATAAGTCCATCCGTGACATTTCCTGGCTACTAAAATATTCCCACGCTCAACTGTTAGTGGGATTATAACAAAGTGGAAGCAACTGGGAACAACAGCCACTCAGCCACCAAGTGGTAGGCCACGTCACATGACAGGGCGGGGTCAGCGCATGCTGAAGCGCACAGTGTGCAGAAGTCGCCAACTGTCTGCAGAGGCAATAGCTAAAGACCTCCAAACTTGGTGTGGCCTTCAGATGAGCCCAACAATAGTGCGTAGAGAGCTTCATGGAATGGGTTTCCATGGCCGAGCAGCTGCATCCAAGCCTTCCATCACCAAGTGCAATGCAAAGCGTCGGATGCCGTGGTGTAAAGCACGCCGCCACTGGACTCTAGAGCAGTGGAGACGTGTTCTCTGAAGTGGCCAATTACGCTTCTCTGTCTGGCAGTCCGATGGACATGTCTGGGTTTGGCTATTGCCAGGAGAATGGAACTTTCCTGACTGCATTGTGCCAAGTGTAAAGTTTGGTGGAGGGGGGATTATGGTGTGGAGTTGTTTTTCAGGGGTTGGGCTTGGCCCCCTAGTTCCAGTGAAGGGCAACATTTTGGACAACTTTGTGGGAGGAGTTTGGGGATGGCCCCTTCCTGTTCCAACATGACTGCGCACCAGTGCACAAAGCAAGGTCCATAAAGACATGGAGGAGCCAGTTTGGGGTGGAGGAACTTGACTGGCCTGCACAGAGTCCTGACCTCAACCCCATAGAACACCTTTGGGATGAATTAGAGCGGAGACTGCGAGCCAGGCCTCCTCCCCCGACATCAGTGCCTGACCTGACAAATGTGCTTCTGGAAGAATGGTCCAACCTTCCCACAGACACCCTCCTAAACCTTGTGGACGGCCTTCACAGAAGAGTTGAAGCTGTTATAGCTGCAAAGGGCGGGGCCAAATCAATATTGAACCCTATGTACTAAGACTGGGGGCCATTAAAGGTCACGTGCGTGGAAGGGGTGGGCCAACTCAATTTTGAACCCTACGGACTAACACTGGGGGACCATTAAAGGTCATGTGCGTGGAAAGGCCGGCCGACCAATACTTTTGGCAATATAGCATAGTAACCTAAGTCCTCACATTATTCAGCGCTGTGCTTGTCTGTAGTGGCAGTTGGGTGGAAACAGACAGGCAGTCCATTTCCATCTGAGTGCTCCATAGGAAGAAGCAGGCTGTGTCTGGACACAGACCAGTTATCTTCCTGCTCATTAGGGATCAGCGGAGAGATCCCCCTCTCAACAGGTGGATCTGCTTACGGGTCTGAAAGGGGCCCAAGTGTTCTTCGGACATAATTGGGCCCATAGACCTGATATGGTACACAGTGTCATTGGTACCTCCATCCCTAACACCATCATTGTTACCCAACACCAGACTCGACCTAACAAACTGGTATTTTACAAACTGGTACATTGAGGATGAACTTCCAAACAACTTTCCTAGTTGGACTGAACAATCCTTGCCAGGCTGACCGGGGAACTACACATCAACTGCTGGAGGAAGGAACCATGCTGAGGAGAACAAGAGAAGGCTGAGGAGGAGAGGGCTGCATGGAGGCAGGGGGAGGGGGGGGGATTCATCTTCTCCTAGGCCAGCTCTATTATTGAGAACATTGAGCGAAAGGCCAGGAGATGGTCACACCAGGAGTAGCTGTACACCAAACTACTCCCATTGTAGTCCATCCCTCCATGGCCACCTTACCACCCACCACCATGGCAGTGACCACATCCACCTCACCCTCCTATAACAGAAACCACATCCCCCAGCCAATGAAGCATATTCCTGGTACAGAGACGGATGGGACTGTGGGGGAGGGGATGTTAGAGTGTAAATTTTTATTTATTTAAAATCGTGCAAACATACAGCTTATTAACCCCTTGCCTACCGGGCACTTATACCCCCTTATTTACCAGGCCAATTTTCAGCTTTCAGCGCTGCCGCACTTTGATTGACAATTGCGCGGTCATGCAACATTGTACCCATATGAAATTTTGATCATTTTTTTCTCACAAATAGAGCTTTCTTTTGGTGGTATTTAATCGCCGCTGGGCACTTTACTTTTTGTGCTATAAATAAAAAAATTGCAAAAAATTTGAAAAAAAAAAAAAAGTTTCTTTGTTTCTATTATAAAATTTTTCAAACAGGTAATTTTTCTCCTTCACTGATGTGCGTTGATGAGGCAGCACTGATGGGCACTGATAGGTGGCACTGATGGGCACTGATAGGCAGCACTAAAGGGCACTGATAGGCAGTACTAATGAGGTGGCACGGATAGGCGGCACTAATATGCAGCACTGATAGGCGGCACTAATGAGGTGTCACGGATAGGCGGCACTAATATGCAGCACTGATAGGCGGCACTGATAGGTGACACCGATGATGGGTACTGATAGATGGCACTGACTGGCATCACTGCTGGGCACTGACTGGCGGCACTGACTGGCACAACCACTGGACACTGACTGGTGGCACTGACTGGCAGCACTGCTGGGCTGCACTGGTAGCTGGCACTGGTGGGCAGCACTGGTGGGTGGGCACAGGTGGGTGGCACTGGTGGGCACAGGTGGGTGACACTGCAGAGTGGCACAGCTGGGTGCACTGCTGGGCACAGGTGGGTGATCTGCTGGGCACAGGTGGGCGGAACTTGCGGGTGCCACTGCTGGGCACCGATCATCAGGGCACTGATCATCAGTGCCCTGATGATCTGTGCCGATCCCCGCTCTGACAACTGCCGGTTCTCGGCAGTACTTTCCTCACGATCTGACAGCGTGAGGAAAGTGCAGCCGAGAACCGGCACTTGCATTTCCCTCTGATCAGCGTGTCATTGGACACCGCTGATCACGTGGTAAAAGGCCGCTGTGATTGGCCTTTTACCACATCACGTGATCAGCTGTGTCCTTAGGACACAGCGATCATGGAGATCGCCGCCGGGTGCGCGCCCCCTGGGGCTCGCAGGAGAGCGCGTTCTGGGGGGACGTCATATGACGTCCACTCAGAACTGGCCGGCCGCGGTGCAGCCGTCATTCGGCTATCTGCGGTCGGCAACAAGTTAATAAAAGCATATTTACATATATACAAAATAAAAATTAATATATATATCTATATATAGAACTATATACAAAGAAAACAAATTTAATTATCCGAAAACTTACTAAATTATGCAAAACACAGCCCTACCTTCACCTAAACCCCCCCTCAGGCTAAGAAATGATGAAACATTGATCCCATGCATGCAGCCTTTCTTCAAAAATCTGACCTTATAAAAATCTAGGGGACGTGAAAGGACAGAAAGAGAAGCCACGTCCCCAGAGACTGACAGACAGCAGCTACGGGGACCTGACATTCCTCCACGCCTTTGTCCAGGCTCCTGGCCACCACCTGTCCTTCTCAAGACCCCAAATCTTCCCAACCTCACCCAGAATATTGTGCACCTCCACAGGAAGGACTTTTTTGCGAATGGAAACCTGACACCATGCATTCCACGTGTAATAATGGACTACTAGGCTAACTAGAAAAAGTGTCTCAAAATCAAAGTCCCGGTGAGTCTGAAAGGCTCCGTAAGACCACTCCGCGTAACTCAAGCTGGAAAGGAAAGGGATCCCCAAAGCCCCACCCACCCACTTGTAGACATCTATATTGAAGGGGCACTGAAGCAAGAAATGGTCCATCGTCTCCTCCACTCCACCGCACTCCACTCTTGGACAACCACGGTTCTCCGCAGAGCGATGCTTCAGGTTGCCCTTCACATAGAGTCTGCCATGGAACGAGAGCCAGGCCAAATCCCGAAACTTTAAAGGGATTCTCTCGAGATTCATCAAACGCAGACCCTCCCTCATAACCGGGTCTGGGCAATCCCTCAAGGCCAATGGCTCGCTAAAGGCAGATTCAACAACCCTCCTCTCCAGGGCCTTCCTAGGAAGAGACCTAATTTCCTCCGCCGTCACTCACCATTACCGAAGCATTTTCAGACATGGGGCAACATAAGCCGGGAGCTTACCATGTTGGACCCTCAAGCTTTTCACTGGCCCACCATTCTCCCATCTCCGCAGAAAAGGCCTAAACCAGGACTGAAAAATACCAACCCACCCAGGCGGTTCCTCTGCCAGCATGCTACCAAAATTATGTTTCAAAAACATCAGAGAAAGGAAAACCACCAGGTTGACCATACCTAGGCCACCCATCCGCCTGGGAAGGTAGGTTACAGACCTCTTAATGAGGTTCAGTTTGTGCCCCCATAACAGCTGGAAGAAACAACTGTAGATCCTCGCATAGAGAGACACTGGAACACAGACAAAGCTGACATACAGAAACACCGGGATCAGGTAAGTTTTATTCAGGTCAATCCTTTCCCTGTAAGAGAGTTTCCAATCCTTCCAGCTGGCCACCTTGGTATCGGCATCTTGTAGCCTGCTTACCCAATTTGCAAGGCCGTAATCACCAGAACCAAATCTGATGCCTAAAACTTTAATTTCCTGCTGGGGCTCTGGGAAGGCATCCGGAAGGGTAAAACCTTTGCCTTCCTCTCCCATCCAGAAAACCTCACTCTTATCCTGATTGATCTTTGAGCCAGATGCCTCAGCATACTGTTCCATCACCGAGACCACCTCCTCCACCTCCTGCCTCAGCATACTGTTCCATCACTGAGACCACCTCCTCCGCCTCCTGCCTCAGCATACTGTTTCCATCACCGAGACCACCTCCTCCACCTCCTGCGTCCTGGAGATGAAAACAGACACGTCATCAGCATAGGCCACGACCCTCAGAGGGGGCTCCCCAGGAATGCCCAAAGGAACTCCACACAACGGTCCGCTCTCTAACCTCCGAATGAAGGGATCGATTACAAACGCATATAGCAGAGGACTCAAAGGACACCCTTGACGCACACCTGAGCCAACCTCAAAGGGCAGTCCAATCCAACCATTCACAAGCATGAAGCTTTCAGCTTCTCTGTATAAAGTCTTTAGCCAATTGATAAAGCCCCCCTCCAGGCCATACTTGCCAAGAAGCAGCCATAGGTACTCATGATTGTCTCAATCAAAAGCTTTGGCCTGATCCAATGCCAGCAGGAACTTTCCCCCGCCTGCAGCCCTGCACCGCTCCAGGGCCTCCTGGACAGCTAACACCGCTGAAAAAGTGCTTTTACCCTGAACCGAATAGTGCTGATGGCGGGAAAGTAAATTGCCCCCCACAGACGATAAACACCAGAAAATGATCTTTGCCAGTATCTTTCTATCAACATTGAGAAGGCTAATGGGCCGCAATTCTCAGTTCTGGAAGAATCCTTACCCTTTGACAGAAGAATCACTGCAGATTGTTGCATGGGAGGGAGAGAGCGAACCCTCTCTCAGACAGCCATTAAACACCTCCACCAAATATGGGGCCAGAGTGACCTTAAAGTGCTTATAAAACTCGGCTGTCAATCCGTCTGGCCCAGGCGACTTCTTCATGGCAAGCTGATCAATAGCTTTCACCACCTCATCTGCCGTGATGTCCTCTGTCAAACTCACAGGAGAACTGCCATTTCCCAGTCCTGGAGTAGAGTCCAGAAAACCCAACATGCTCGCCCGATCGAGGTCCCTCCTACCCAGGACTCACAAGAGAACTGCCATTTCCCAGTCCTGGAGTAGAGTCCAGAAAACCCAACATGCTCGTCCGATCGAGGTCCCTCCTACCCAGGACTCACAAGAGAACTGCCATTTCCCAATCCTGGAGTAGAGTCCAGAAAACCCAACATGCTCGCCCGATCGAGGTCCCTCCTACCCAGGAGGTCAGCATAATATGACCTGGAGGTTTCCAGGATCCCTGACTTGGACTTTGTCAGGGAACCCGTACTGTAAACCAGGCCTACAACTGACTTAACTGCTCTACCTTGTTTGCAATTCTGGTAAGGGTCGGGAGAGTGAAATTTCCCATAATCCCTTTCCAGAAGCAAAGAGGCATGCCTGTCATATTGACACTGCCTGAGCAAGAGTTTAACCTCAGAGATCGCTTCTGGATCTCCATTATTCGAGACAAGCCGATCGAGCTTCCTCCGCAGACGCTGGTGGGTGACATACTTATCAAGCTGTTTATTCCTTCCTATGGCCTTGAAAAACCCAACGATCCTTCGTTTTGTAAGCTCCCACCACTCGGACTTACTGCTGCAAACGTCCATGATTGATACCTGTGCCTGAAAAAAATCCTCAAAGGATTGACTCACCTTCTCATCGTCCAGGAGTGCCGAATTCAGCTTCCAGGTACCCCTCCCCTTAGGTGGTGTATCGGGGCCACTCAGAGTCACAGACAGAATACAGTGATCGGAAAACTCCACCGCCTGACACACTGGTGCTGAGAAAAGGCAGAGTTCCCCTTTAAAAAAAAACCTATCTATTCTACTCTGACTAGAACCTCGCTGAAAAGTGAATCCCGTGTCGTCTGGGCAGCAATGAATGTGCACATCAACCAGACCTGCCTCTCTAGCTATTTTGTTTAAAAAAAAACCCGTCACAGTCCAGCCTGACTCCGGTACCTTTCCTGTCCTTAGTCCTAGTGACGGTGTTAAAGTCACCACCGAAGACAACTTGCTGGGCTGTAAAAAGGAAAGGCTTGATCTTCATGAAGAGGCATTTCTGTCCCATTTTGTCTGGGGCCCATAGATGTTAATCAGGCGCAGGTCCTGCCCCCCCATGGAGACGTCTAAGACCATGCATCTCCCCATTTCTACCTCAATAATCCGCCGACAGGTTACCATGCCGGAAAAAAGTACCGCAACTCCAGTGTAAGGCTCGGCCGCAAGAGACCAGAAGGAGGGGCCGCGCCTCCACTCCTTCTTCGCCATATGAACATCCCCCAAACTGGACAACCTGGTCTTTTGCAAAAAGAAAATATCAGCATCAAACCTGCTGAGCAAAAATAAGGCCATGTTACGAGCGCTTACTGATTTTATGCTGGCGACATTAATGGTCGCCACCTTCAAAGGAGTGGGAACCGCCATCAGGATGATCGAGGTACACGTTTCTTAGCATGCTTACCCCCCTACCTACTTGGAGACCCTACACGCTTCATAGTCCTCTGTGTTTCCTCCTCCATGGAAACCAGAGACTCATCCCCTGAAGATCCCTCATCCTCCACCTCAGATAACACATCAAATGTGTTTGACACCTCCACCCTCCCAGGGTCAGGTACAGGCACATCCTTCTTTCGCTTCTTCTTCCCAGACTTCCTTTTTGCCTCCAGCCACTCCATATCATCATTTGATAAACCGGACCGCAAAGCCCCCTCCCCTTCCCTTCCACCATCACCCACAACATCATCCATTCCACTCTCTCCCACACACCACAGCAGTCCCCCCAACCTTCACCACAACACCCCCACAATCATTCACTCCACCCCCCAGCGCCTCACGCCCTCTGATCCTCAGACGCCGGGGAGCGGGGTCGGTGCAACCATACACATTGGTCCAGCTTCCTCCACAGCCCCCACTACCTCTGGGGAAACTGACACAGGAGGATCAGACACAACATCCACGGACACTGTCTCAGGGGGCACAACACAAGGAGATGACGCATTGGATGGATCATCAGACACTGGGACCACAGGGACAGAGACATTGGGGACCCCTGGCAAAAGCCCTCCTCTCCTCTGCCTCCTCCATGTCCAGACAAAAAAATTCTTCCACCAAAGCTGACTGGTTATGCATGGCCTCAGGGCACCGGTTGTACGAATGGCCAACCTTATCACAAAGATTGCACCTGATGATGTTACAATCCTTAGCCAGATGCCCCAGATCCTGACATACAGAGCACTTCATCTCTGGACAAGAGGAGGCCAAGTGACCCCGAGAACCAGATGCCCCAAATCCTGACATAGAGAGCACTTCATCTCTGGACATGAGGAGGCAAAGTGACCCCGAGAACCAGATGCCCCAGATCCTGACACAGAGAGCACTTCATCTCTGGACATGAGGAGGCCAAGTGACCCCGAGAACCAGATGCCCCAGATCCTGACACAGAGAGCACTTCATCTCTGGACATGAGGAGGCCAAGTGACCCGGAGAACCAGATGCCCCAGATCCTGACATAGAGAGCACTTCATCTCTGGACATGAGGAGGCAAAGTGACCCGGAGAACCAGATGCCCCAAACCAGATGCGTCCTCCAAACCTTTCATCTCCGACTTCAGAGTCTGCTTGATGACGTCCTCCAAACCTTTCATCTCTGGCTTCAGACTTTGCCTCTTGCTGCTTCATGACGTCCTCCAAACCTTTCATCTCCGACTTCAGAGTATGCCGCTGCTTCATGACGTCCTCCAAACCTTTCATCTCCGGCTTCAGACGTTGCCTCTTGCTGCTTCATGGCGTCTTCCAAACCTTTCATCTCCAGCTTCAGACTTTGCCTCTTGCTGCTTCATGACGTCCTCCAAACCTTTCATCTCCGACTTCAGAGTATGCCGCTGCTTCATGACGTCCTCCAAACCTTTCATCTCCGGCTTCAGACGTTGCCTCTTGCTGCTTCATGGCGTCTTCCAAACCTTTCAGCTCCAGCTTCAGACTTTGCCTCTTGCTGCTTCATGGCGTCTTCCAAACCTTTCATCTCTGGCTTCAGACTCTGCCGTTGCTTCATGGCGTCTTCCAAACCTTTCATCTCCGGCTTCAGACTCTGCCACTTGCTGCTCCATGCCTTATCATGGAGAACTTTCTTCTTGTAATCTGCTTTCAGTTTCATCAGCTTTTCCTCCTCCTTTGCAATTCTCACCAAAAAAATCAGCAACCCGCTCTCTGAAGACAGGGAAGGATTCCCCTCTTTTAGGGCCACAGCCAAGGTCTTCTGATGAAGGTGAAGCATGGGAGGGCAAGCTGGGTCCCTCAGGGGGAACTTGGCCTGAGCCTAATCCACAAGAGGCCATGTTTCTGGCCCCCTAGTGTCTGGAAAGGGAGAGCAAAAGCACAACAACCTCTATGGTGCAGAGTGTAAGCTCCTCTGGTACAGAGACTGATGGGACTGCGAGTGAGGGGACATTAGAGTGTAAGCTCCTCTGGTACACAGACTGATGGGACTGCAGGGGAGGGGACATTAGAGTGTCAGCTCCTCTGGTAAAGAGACTGATGGGACTGTGGGGGAAGGGACATTAGAGTGTAAGCTCCACTGTACAGAGACTGATGTGACTGCGGGGGAGGGGACATTAGAGTGTAAGCTCCTCTGGTACATAAACTGATGGGACTGTGGGGGAGGGGACATTAGAGCGTAAGCTCCTCTGGTAAAGAGACTGATGGGACTGTGGGGGAGGGGACATAAGAGTGTAAGCTCCTATGTTACAGAGACTGATGGGACTGTGGGGGGAGGGGACATTGGAGCGTAAGATCCTCTGGTACAGAGACTGATGGGACTGCGGGGGAGGGGACATAAGAGTGTAAGCTCCTATGTTACAGAGACTGATGGGACTGTGGGGGAGGGGACATTGGAGCGTAAGATCCTCTGGTACATTATTATTATTATTATTATACAGTATTTATAAAGCGCCGATAGTTCGCTCAGCGCTGTACATTACAAAGGGGGACAGAACATGTGACAGAACAATACCAATACAATGCAAAACATGAGGGGATCGAGGACCCTGCTCCTTGGAGCTTACAATCTAGGAGGGGGGGATGGTGGCACAGGAGGAGATAGCTGTGGGGGATGGAGTGGTAGGAAGAGTGGAGGAGGTCGGCAGGTTAGCAGGGGGTGGGGTAGGCTTCCCTGAAGAGATGGGTTTTCAGCGTGCGCCTAAATGAGAGGAGAGTAGGTGATAATCTGATGGGTTGGGGCAGGGAGTTCCAGAGGATGGGTGACACCCTGGAGAAGTCCTGGAGGCGGGCATGGGAGGAGGACCCAGGGAACTAGAGAGAAGGAAGTCTTGTGAGGAGCGGAGTGTGCGTGTTGGGTGGTACTTGGATATTAGGTCGGTGATGTAGTTCGGGGCAGTATGGTGGACAGCTTTGTACGTCAGTGTTAGGATTTTGAATTTGATCCGTTGTGCAATCGGAAGCCAGTGAAGGGATTGGCAGAGGGGGGTGGAGGACACTGAATGGAGGCCAGTGGAGGGATTGGCAGAGAGGGGTGGAGGACACTGAGTGGAGGCCAGTGGAGGGATTGGCAGAGGGGGGGTGGCGGACACTGAGTGGAGGCCAGTGGAGGGATTGGCAGAGGGGGTGGAGGACACTGAGTGGAGGCCAGTGGAGGGATTGGCAGAGAGGGGTGGAGGACACTGAGTGGAGGCCAGTGGAGGGATTGGCAGAGGGGGGTGGCGGACACTGAGTGGAGGCCAGTGGAGGGATTGGCAGAGGGGGGTGGAGGACACTGAGTGGAGGCCAGTGGAGGGATTGGCAGAGAGGGGTGGAGGACACTGAGTGGAGGCCAGTGGAGGGATTGGCAGAGGGGGGTGGCGGAGATGGAGCGGTTGGAAAGGTGAATGAGTCTGGCAGCCGTATTCAGGATGGACTGAAGCGGGGATAGCCTGTGGTGAGGCAGGCCAGTGAGGAGGGAGTTGCAGTAGTCGAGTCGTGATATGATGAGGGAGTGGATGAGCTGTTTAGTGGTTTC